GTAGTTGCTCTTGATGATGAGCACTAACTTTGAACCCTACTGAAGGGAAAAATTATTAACTTAAAAAGATTTCTATCCTTCCCATTAATACACCAGTGTTACAATGAATCGTTCCTAGTTATTATATTTTTTATTTTTTTAATATTTTATTTATTTATTCATGAGACACAGAGAAAGAGAGAGGGGCAGAGACACAGGCAGAGGGAGAAGCAGGCTCCCTGCAGGGAGCCCGATGCGGGACTCGATCCTGGGACTCCAGGATCATGCCCTGGGCTGAAGGCAGGTGCTAAACCGCTGAGCCACTGGGGCTGCCCTATTTTTGGTTTTTCAATAAAATATTTGTATTTGTTTTCTCTTTTGTTGTATTAATACCTACATAATATCCTTGATTTTGCTTCTTGGTGGCAAAGCCTAAAATGTTTATTTTCCAGACCTTTACAGATAATGTTTGATGACTCCTGTTGTAGGGAATGACACCAATTTAACCCATTAGACTGTCTGAATCAACTTTGTCAATCAATGGGATGATAAATAATGCAATACTCTTCCATTTTAAGCAGGACTGTAGTTTTTTCAAATTTGCTTTTTCCTGTTCTTATTTATAGTCTTAGCTTAAGTTTGATGTTTGGTTGATCATGTACTACAATTATGTTAGATTATATTAGGGGAATACTTTTTGAATGAGTGACTGGGAAAGATTTAGAAATCTGTAAAATATTAGAAGGCATGACATGTTAAAAATATATTTTGATAAGGGACACAAAGAAATCACATGGAAGAAGGCAGATGGATTTGTTGGTTGGGGTGGATTAGGTTGTGTGTTAGGATATAAATATACTTAATAGGAACTCATAACTTTGGTTGACTAGGAGCTATCTTCTGTTTAATCATGAGAAAAGCTAATAAAAATTTGTGTCATAGAAGGTCATCCATAAATTGCTATGCTGCTGCAATAATATTTTAAGGGAGATTATAAGAAAAGTTTTATTTTTTCAATTTATGTTGCTCTAATAGAGAAAAAGAGATATCAGAAAAATTACCTCAGGCATTTTAACCCTTTTCTATTTATTTATTTTTTAAATTAACCAAAATGTCATGACAAATGTGACAGTATTGCAAGTTTATAATATATAATTTTTTAGGAAGTTAGGTCTCTCACAAGAGTGCTGTAAGATTTAGATAATGATGTCCAGTGGTTTGAGGATAGAAAAGTCATTGTATAAGTATGGAAAGCTTGTTACTATCTATAATTGTTTTTGTTTTTTGTACCTTTAAGTAACATTAAGTCTTTAAAAAAATCCAACTAATGCTTGCAGAGGAGAAAATCTTACAAAAGGGTGTACAGTGAAAATCAAAGCTCTTCTTTTTATAGACCCCATTTCTACCTTCTGGTGGTAATTGATGAAAAAAGTTCATGTTTCTTTCCAGAATCTATATACAAGCATAGGCATATATATGTATATATATATATATATATATATATATACATATACACACACCACATACATACATATATATATAAAGGGCTTATTCTATGCTTACCATTTGCATTATCCTCTTCTCTTAACATATATGACATATTAATAGTACAGTGTTTTAATGCTTATATGTAATAACATTTCCTTAATGCAGTTATTTATACATGGGCATTTATTTTCAGTTTCTTCCTATTACTAGGGGTGGGTATAGGTCTTGTGGAAGGGGTGTGTGTGCGTGCACGTGCGCATCATCCTTAAGGAAAATTATAGTGACTTAACAAATAGAAAAGTGAATGCAGAGTCTGGGAAGAGATCTTGCAAGTGTAGTGCTTGAAGGTTAAGTGTCATTAGTATCACAGTGAGTTCACCTTGGTAATTCTGATTACAAGCAGTGCTTCAATAAATATTTTTGTGTTTATGTATATGCTTTAACAAGTGTGTGTGTATACACATACCACACATACACACACAAGATAAATTTTATGAGGTGAAACTACTAAAACAGAGGTTATTAGTTGTTAAGGTCATGGACTCAGGATCTAAGCTGCCTGGGCTTTAATGTGTCTTCCCACCTACCAGCTTGGTGACTTTGGACAAGATCCTTAATCTCTATGCCTCAAATCTTCATATGTAAATGGAGATAATATTGTTATAAGAATGTTATGGATTTAAGTACTTTAAACTGGTTGGCATTCAGGAAATGTTAAGTATTTATGTCGGTTTCGTAAGTCTTTTTTTAAGGTAGTCTCATGACATTTAACTGTTTTGGATCAAACTGTTTAAAGTGCAACATATTTAATTTAAAAATGTAAAGAATAAGCCATTTGAACTGTTACTATTATATTTATGGGCAAACATATGTAACCATGATGGCATGGTGAATAGTGCTTTGAAATTTGCAAACTACCCTAACATGTTTTACGTCATCTATACATAAACTGTAATTACTAGAATGTTTTCCTCTTCACTGGCTCCATCCCTCTCCAGGGTTTTTTTTTAGGGAATACTGGTAAAGAAGGGAAAATACTTTCCCCACAGGATTCCATTCTTCTAAATAATTTGTCTTTTCCACTTTGAATTTACTACCAAGAATCTTTAGAGATTTAGAAATATTAAGAAGTTTTGACTTCAAAGTCTTACTTTTTTTTTTTAATTTTTATTTATTTATGATAGTCACAGAGAGAGAGAGACACACAGAGACACAGGCAGAGGGAGAAGCAGGCTCCACGCACCGGGAGCCCGATGTGGGATTTGATCCCGGGTCTCCAGGATCGCGCCCTGGGCCAAAGGCAGGCGCCAAACCACTGCGCCACCCAGGGATCCCTTTGTTGTTTTTTTTTAAGCCAGGGTGCTGCCTCATAGTTTAGGAGGACCATGTGTTTATTTTGTACAGTGAGAAGAATTAAGCAACTGTGGAAAGGAAGCAGTAGTAGTCAAAGAGAATAGAGAAGGAGGGCAAAAGTTGATGTTTCTTCTACTACAATGTAAGTTTCCTGAGGCCACAGTTGGTTCTTGTTATCCCCTAACAACAGCAGAATGTCAGATGCAAGGTATGTGCTTAGGAAACAGTTGTTTAAATGAATGAATGAAGAATTGAGAAGAGGTCAAGGGAAGATTGAGCAGAGGGAGGAGAGAATGAGAGAAGGCATAGGAGAGGAGAAGTCAAAGAACAGAGGAGTGAAAAGTTGTCAAGAGAAGGAAAGAGCTTTCTCTCAAATTCAGCTTTTATTTAATATGGCCAAGGCAATATGGAGAAACTGGTTTTTACTCGGTTGCCTCCAGACTAGGGTGACAGAAGGTGGTTGGGACAGGTCCTGAGGTAGTGTCCTGTGATCTGGACTTTCATGAGATGGTGTAACAGGCAAGCCTTATGTGTAAGTGCTGTTTACCTGCTTATGTATAGTTTAGTAGATAACTTGAAACCAGAGGTTGAAATGTAGCTTTCTTGAGAATGTTCTCTAATTTTAACATAGTAATTTTTTAAAAAAATCTGGTGCTAAGTGTAAGTCTCACAACCCTGAGATCACTACCTGAGCTGAAACCAACAGCCGGGATCCCTGGGTGGCGCAGTGGTTTGGTGCCTGCCATTGGCCCAGGGCGCGATCCTGGAGACCCGGGATCGAATCCCACATCGGGCTCCCGGTGCATGGAGCCTGCTTCTCCCTCTGCCTGTGTCTCTGCCTCTCTTTCTCTCTCTGTGTGACTATCATAAATAAATAAAAATTAAAAAAAAAAGAAAAAAACCACTCCGGTGCCCCATTCTAAGAAGGCTTTTGCTTCTACTTTGCACTGCAAATATTTCTTCACAGTTCAACAGTTGTTTCTGACTTTATCATCTCTTTAACTTCCAATGAATTTAAACTTTCGTAGAGTTGGATTAATATTTACTTTTGTATATTTTGGGTTTCATATATTGCTTTAAGAGGCTGAAGATAGGGGATCCCTAGGTGGCTCAGCGGTTTAGCGCCTGCCTTCAGCCCAGGGCATGATCCTGTAGTCCCAGGATCGAGTCCCGCATCGGGCTCCCTGCAGGGAGTCTGCTTCTCCTTCTGCCTGTGTCTCTGCCTCTCTCTCTCTCCCTCTCTGTGTCTCTCATAAATAAATAAATAAAATCTTTAAAAAAAAGAGGCTGAAGATAAAAATTTTAGTGTGATATGATAGCTGTGTGTGTTTTTGTGGCAGGAGTATTTCTACTCAGGACCACATGCATTTAATGCGGCCCAAAATTATCTATAAGTACATAATTAATTTTGTGTATTTAATTGTTGATATCTATATGTAAAATACCTGTAAAGCATTATTACACTATATGAAAAGAGAAATAGCTTACTATCCACTTATTGCCATTCAGCTGAGCCTCACTTTCTTTTCTTTAAAATATTGGTATTGGTTGTTGTGAGAATTAAATGAGATAATCTCTGCAAATAATACTAGATACATTTACTCAGTACCTACTAAGTACTAGTCATTATATAGACATTAGTTTATATGATCCTCAAAGTACTACTTTGAAGCAGGTGCTACTGCACTCAAATTACAAGTGAGAAAATAGATTTAAAATGAGCTTATGCAGCTTGCCCAGCATCTCATAGAAAGTGGCAAAGCCAAAATGTAAATACATATTTATCTGAAAACAAAAACCATAGTCTTTTCACTATACATTCTTCCTGGGACAGTACAGCTATTTATTTGCTTAAATCCTTTCTTCTTTTTAAATTTTCTGTTTGTCTTTTTCTATTTGATGACTAAGACTCTCAGACTGTCCTGAAGCACTACCTGTGATTATTGAAATATTCTTCTCTGCACTGTCCAGCAGGATGGCCACTTGCCACATGTATCTGTTTAACAGTTGAAATGTGGTTAATGCAACCAAGGAACTGAAGTTTTACTTTATTTTAAATTAAATTACACGTGGCTACCATTTTGGACATCACTGCCTTAGATGTCTGAATGCTCAGGTTTTGTGCATAAGGTGAGTGTAACTAATGTATTGATTGATAATGAGGAAACTGTTCATTCTAGGTTGAAAACTTTAGCAGAGGAACTTATACAGACACAGCAGATGCTTGTAAACAAGGAGGAGGCTGTCCTGGAGCTAGAGAAGAGAATTGAGGAGTCCTCTAAGACCTGTGAAAAGAAGTCTGAGTGAGTAAAACAAATAATTTGAAGGAAGAAAGTTTAATTGATAGAATTTTACAGAATACTTCAGTCGCATGTTATCATGGATGTAAAATTTCTAGAAGCTAAATTTTCATTTTAAGTGTAAAATGTGGTATCGTTGAGTTGCTCTCTAGGACTCTGGAAAAGTGATCTGGGTTTTTTTTGTCAGTTTAGTGTACTGATCACATCTCAGTGTTTTAACAGTTTGAACTACTTTCTGAAAAATCCTGTTAGAAGTTGTGTTTATTCCCTTCATCAGTGTCCACTAGGTTTGCTGTGCATTCCTTGTTCAGAAAGTGGCAGATCAGTGTTAACTCAGAAATTGGCCTCTCTGTGTTAGAAGGAAGCAAATACGCTTATTAGGAAGTCCCAAACTTCTTCAGTCATAAAAATCCCTAAGATTTGCTGTGCTGTTTTGTCTTACTGTTGTTTTTCTTGCTGGTTTGTGGATCTGTAAGTGTCCTGCTGGATCCTCCTTCTTTACTGGTATGGGGATACTATTGTTTTCACTGATTTTACTAATTATGTTTTCTGCTGTTTTTTTTTAATGTTTCCATTTTGATCTATAATTTAAAATTAACATTTGGCTTTGGTTATTGTTTGAATCTCCAACAGGAGTAGCTAGTATTGTTTCTCTACTCCTGACTAGAGTGTATAAATTTGTCTTATAACTGGCTTGATTTATCAAGATTCTCAAGGACTGGCTTGATTTATCAAGATTCTCAAGGAAATTGTGATGTGTCAGATTTCTCTGGTCTATACTCGCTCTTTCTAAATAACTTCTCAGATATTCTCTTCTCTCAAATCTCTGATCCTCTCATCTCCCCCATCATAGGCAGCAGATGGACCTTTCTACATTATAGAAAAAATTAGAATCCTCAGGTGGCAGCTCCCTCATTTCTTGTGACTAGATATACACATCTATAGCGTTTGTACCCATCCTCTGTACTTCTATTTCTTGGGCCTATTTTTTTGTATCTTGTCATTCCTACTTTATCACAAATTTTACATTATTTTTTATATTATGTTCACCCTTTCTTCTCAGTTGGGTCCAGTGCTCACTTTTTATTTTATTTTGAGAGAGTGAGGGACCATGAGCAAAAGGGGGAGAGGATGAGGAAAAGGGAGAGGCAGGCTCCCTTCTGAGCAGAGAACCCAATGTGGGGCTCCATTCCAGGACCCTGAAATCATGACCTGAGCCGAAGGCAGACGCTAAACTGATCACTCTTAGTATTACTTATTTCAGTGAATGGCAACACCATCTATTCTATTATACAAATCAGAATATTAGAGTTCTATCTCTCCCACTTATAATGTGGCTCTTATTATAACTTGGCTTTAAATATTATATTGTAATCAGTGAGCTTTTTAAAGATGAGAACAGGAAAATCTAAGTTGATCTGGGCGTTCCTTTTATTTGGAAAATTTCAATATTGCATCAACAGAAGATTCTATTTGCATTATAAAAATAAAATTTATCAACCATTGCACATATGATATTCAAAACAAGAGTTATAAATATATTTTTGTGTTTGGGAATAAGTTCTTCATATGTTTACAGATGACCAGGTAGTTGTACTTTTTACAGTTTTGTAAATGTATACATTATAAATGACCCCTGTTTTAAAATGTGTAGTGAGTATAAAGACTGTTAGATGCTGACCCTCTTTCTAGCATGTCTGACCATACACTGTTGGAGGAGACAGTGCTATTTTTAAGTGTTATCTTAATCCAGAAATTGTGAGATTCTTTGATTTTTTTTTGCTATATTTTCTTGACTCACATCTTTGACTCTTTCTTCATCTGTGTAATGAATGTGATCCACTCTCCTCCAGTTATTTGTATTTATTAGGAAGTGAGAATGGGTGTATAGGAGTTGGGGCTTAACAGGTAGTAGATATGTGGGAAATAACTTATTGAGTTCTTACTCTCTTCCACATGTTACATAAGATGTATGTACGTTATCACATTGAATGCTGTCTTCACTATGCCTTTTGTGTATTTGCCTGTATTTTACCTTTATGACTTAGAGAATTTAAAAAAATTATAATTACATACCTAGGCAGTGATAGAAAATGCATGAGTTCCTGACTACACAGCATATGTCTCTTTGATCACAGCATCAGCTTGATCTTGTTATTTTAATAGTGTTCTTATGAGAATAAGTTAGAAGGGATAAGTATGTCAAGCAGTTCAGGGGCTGAGTCCTATTTAACTCAAATTTTGTTAGCCCATATTATTCTGATATTTTTATTGTTAGCTTTGTGGCATAATCTTGAAAACGTTAAGTACATTTATATAACTATAAGCAGTCATTGTGAAATCTCATTAATTTAGATGCTAGTAGAGTTGAAGTTTGTCTTTCCCTTATATGTTAAAATATTTTGTGAAGCAACCTGAAAGGGATTCTAGTGAAAATGTTTGCATTTCAGTTTCTTAAGAATTCATAAACATTTCCTTTTTGTGTGTGTGTATGTATGTGAATCTACATACAAATCTACATACAAATTTAAATACAGATATAATTAAAAGCATTTTCAATCTAGTTTTAGAAATAGATTTATATTTTTTTTTACTAGGCAGTACTTTATTAGCTTCATGTACTGTTAATTGGAAGTAATTAAACAGTAAAACAGAATTATAGTTCTTCACAAATGCTAAAAGTATTCTATAAGTCAGATATTTATATTCTTAAATTATTGCAATTCTACTGAATTTTTGCCTAACAGAAGACATTATTGGTTCTGTTGAATTATAATAGGGAACTAAAGTTAAAACCTTTACATTTGAGTTTAACATAAATGTCTTTAAAACATTTTATGGTTACAGGGAAAAAATAAATTCTATGACAAATCATTTGATAGCTTTGATTCCTATAATTGAATAATCTAAAATGAAAAATAAACTTAAAGAATGGTTTTTATGTGACATTAAATTCACACTATCAAGTAGAGTTTTAGCTTATATAAATAATGCAGTCTCAGTTGAAATGTAGCTATTGTAGAATTATATTTAAAAAAAAATTAGAGTAAAAGGAATAAAACCAACCACTTGAAATGGTATAATTTTAATACAATGCAAAATGTCACTCTAGTATACATAACTTTACTCATTACTTCTAAAGCATATTTATTCAAATGGAAATAATATCAATCTTCTCCTGATTTATGATCCTTGTCTACTGTATTAGAAAATAGTTTATGGGAGAGTATACCAAGCATATGTTATTTATGACTCGGTGGCATGAAGAGCAAGTAATATTACTATTGGTTTTAATGTTTGGCTTGACTTCCAAAAAGTGAACGATTATTCAATTTTGTGTTTTATGCCATTATCACCTAATACTTAAAAATACTTTATATGTTATAAAATCAAAACTCAGCACCATGCAAAATCTTGAGATCATTTGATTTAACTCCCGGTCTTTCAAATTGTGTATCATCTGAGGCCCTGAAATTTTAAGAGACTTGTAAAATCACCTCTAGCTTATAGTTAATTTTAAGACTTGAAAAAAAAAAAAAAGACTTGATCCATCTAGGGTATTGTTCTAATCTGCAAATTCAGGGATCTTTTATTTTTGTCTCAAGATTTGAAAATTATGTGTATTTCAGAAAAATATCCTGCCTACATAAGGGATTCATTCGATAATATTTATTGCATGTCTGCTAGGCACTGTGAATACGATGAAAGGTAAGATATATATCATCCCATGTCTCATGATGCTTACACTTTCTCGGAGTAGACTAATACAAATAAGAAATGAACAATTATGATAATTGTTATCAAATAAGTTCAGATAGAAGAATAATAGAGGAGCACCTACTTATGATAGGTAGTCAGGGGTCTCCTAGAAAGTGGCATTTTTGCTAGATGTGGAGGACAGAAGTTGCCCTCCATGTGAAGAATGCATGGGAAGAGTAGTAAAGGGATAGGGATAGGGAGTAAGTTGCACGTGCAAAGACCCTGATCCCATTCACGTTTTAAATTTATTTATTGGGATGCCTGGGTGGCTCAGCGGTTGAGCGTTTGTCTGCCTTTGGCTCGGCATGATCCCGGAGCCTGGGGATCGAGTCCCACGTCGGGCTCCCTGCCTGGAGCCTGCTTTTCCCTCTGCCTATGTCTCTGCCTCTCTCTCCGTGTCTCTCATGAATAAATAAATAAAGTCTTAAAAAAATTAATTAATTTATGGCTTCCAATATATCTTGTATTATACAGTTGTTCATTTTTCTATAATTTTCTTCTTACTGTAGTATGTATAGCTTGTTTACTCAATGGTATTATAAACATAAAAATAGTATAATATGTGGTATAGTGATTATAGCAATACTTTAAAAAATTATTGAACAAAAGCAAGATGTTAATGTAAGTGAAATTTTATCATTATGTATAAAACTCCATGAGATTAATTAGAAGAAGCTAATGTTGCTTATTAATTTCATGATCAGACATGTTGATTAAAAAAGTTAGGACTAGAACCTTGCAACAGGACATATTATTGTTCGTAGGAAATCTTACTGTTCTTCAAAACCACTAAACTAAAAACCAGGAAATGTATATTTTTACCTAATTCCTGGTATTAGGATAGTGTCTCAGAATGACCAAGTGATTGCCAATATGATACAGTACAATAGATATTTTAGAACTCCTGAAGGAGAATAAAAAAGGACTATCCCTAAAACAGAGTATTTAGGAACCCAAGACATGTATTATTAAAACCTCCCCTCACCTGAGGAAGCATGATGCTGCAGTAATGATATGCATTTTTTTAAAAAGATTTTATTTATTTAATCATGAAAAACACACACACACAGAGAGAGAGAGAGAGGCACAGGCAGAGGGTGAAGCAGGCTCCATGCAGGGAGCCCAATGTGGGACTTGATCCTGGGTCTCCAGATCATGCCCTGTGCTGAAGTCGGCGCTAAACCGCTGAGTCACCGGGGCTGCCCTGATATGCATTTTTAATTAAATTTTTCATTTTCAGACAA